AAGGTTATTCAAATAGGAAAGGAGGAAGTCAAATTGTCTCTATTTGCAGACGACAGGATTGTATATCTAGAAGACCCCATCGTCTCAGCCCCAAATCTCCTAAAACTGATAAACAACTTCAGCAAAGTCTCAGGATACAAAATCAATGTGTAAAAATCACATGCATTCCTACACACCAATAACAGACTTAAAGAAAGCCAAATCGAGAACAAACTTCCATTCACAATTGCCACAAAGAGAACAAAATACCTAGGAATACCACTAACAAAGAACGTAAAGGACCTCTTCAAGGAAAACTACAAGCCACTGCTCAACGAAATAAGAGAGGACACAAACAGATGGAGAAACATTCCATGTTCATGGTTAGGAAGAATCAATATCGTGAAAATGGCCATACTTCCCAAAGTAATTTACAGATTCAATGCTATCCCCATCAAGCTACCAATGACCTTCTTCACAGAACTGGAAAAAACCACCTTAAACTTCATATGGAACCAAAAGAGAGCCCGCATAGCCAAGTCAATTCTAAGCAAAAAGAACAAAGTGGGAGGCATCACACTAGCGGACTTCCAACTATACTACAAGGCTACAGTAATCAAAACAGCATGGTACTGGTACCAAAACAGAGATATAGACCAATGGAACAGAACAGAGGTCTCAGACGCAACACAGCATATCTACAACCATCTGATCTTTGACAAACCTAACAAAAACAAGCAATGGGGAAAGGATTCCCTGTTTAATAAATGGCGTTGGGAAAACTGGCTAGCCATGTGCAGAAAGCAGAAACTGGACTCCTTCCTGACACCTTACACTAAAATTAACTCCAGATGGATTAAAGACTTAATCATAAGACCTAACACCATAAAAACCCAAGAAGAAAATCTAGGCAAAACCATTCAGGACATAGGCATAGGCAAGGACTTCATGACCAAAACACCAAAAGCATTGACAACAAAAGCCAACATAGACAAACGGGACCTAATCAAACTCCACGGCTTCTGCACAGCAAAAGAAACAGTCATTAGAGTGAATCGGCAAGCAACAGAATGGGAAAAAATTTTTGCAGTTTACCCATCTGACAAAGGGCTGATATCCAGAATTTACAAAGAACTAAAACAGATTTACAAGAAAAAAACAAACAAGCCCATTCAAAAGTGGGCAAAGGATATGAACAGATACTTTACAAAAGAAAACATACATGAGGCCAACAAACATATGAAAAAATGCTCATCATCACTGGTCATCAGAGAAATGCAAATCAAAACAACATTGAGATACCATCTCATGCCAGTTAGAACGGCGATCATTAAAAAATCTGGAGACAACAGATGCTGGAGAGGATGTGGAGAAATAGGAACACTTTTACACTGTTGATGGGAGTGTAAATTAGTTCAACCATTGTGGAAGACAGTGTGGCGATTCCTCAAGGACCTAGAAATAGAAATTCCATTTGACCCAGCAATCCCATTACTGGGTATATATCCAAAGGATTATAAATCGTTCTGCTATAAGAACACATGCACACTAATGTTCATTGCAGCACTGTTTACAATAGCAAAGACCTGGAACCAACCCAAATGCCCATCGATGATAGACTGGACAGGGAAAATGTGGCATATATACACCATGGAATATGATGCAGCCATCAAAAATGATGAGTTTGTTTCCTTTGTAGGGACATGGATGAACCTGGAAACCATCATTCTCAGCAAACTGACAGAAGAGCAGAAGATCAAACACTGCATTTTCTCACTCATAGGCGGGTGTTGAACAATGAGAACACATGGACACAGGGAGGGGAGCACTACACACTGGGGTCAGTTGGGGGGAAATAGGGGAGGGACGGTGGGGGGTGGGGAGCTGGGGAGAGATAGCAAGGGGATAGATGCCAGATGTAGGTGATGGGGAGGAAGGCAGCAAATCACACTGCCACGTGTGTACCTATGCAACAATCTTGCATGTTCTTCACATGTACCCCCAAACCTAAAATGCAATAAAATAAATAAATGGGGAAAAAAAACTATTAGCCAAGCAAATTATTAGTGTTCATATGAGATTTTATTAAATCAGCTTGGGAGAGAGTAATTTATTTTAAATATTTCTGTGGCATTAATATGTATATAATAATCCATATCCTAATCATCATGTTTCATGAAATGAACAACCTTTTATTTTTGATCGCCTATTATGTGTCAGGAAGCATGCTAGACATAGAAGAAACAAGGAACTATATCCATTCTCCTTACCTTTAAGTGCTCACAATCAGGGATCAAGGAAGGGGAAGAAAAATATACAGGAGTGTATCATCAATTTAAAAAACATTACTCAATGTTTATCATATGTCAGAAAAAATTCTAGATAGTTGACATATATAACTTGCGTTTCCCCATGCTTAGCTAGCGCATGGGTGCAAATGAATTCACCTTAATAGCGATAACTTAGATAAAGCTGGTTTTTTTCAGCACAGTGAAGAACAACAGAAATCTATTTCCTTTTTCCTGTTTTCCCCCAACCAATTACTATTTCCTCGTTTTTCTTTCCAAGTAACATCACAAAGATGAAATGGAGCAACTAAGCCCAATGAGAACTTGCCAGAATAAGCACTTGTTTGTCCACCCTCACCGCACCCCAAAGGTCTTCTTTATAATTAGAAACTTTCCAAGACCCACTTGGGGTCAATATGACGCTTAGCTATCTAATACTTAGAACCCTACAGAAGATATTTTGAAACTTTATAAAGTGTTAGGCCTCAAGTTTCCACAGGGCATACCTCACCTTGATTACAAATGAAATGACATGTACTTTAATAACTCAAATTTCACTGACTTGTATCACCACCTGTGTAATAGAGGGTCTCAGTCCCCCTTAAGTTCTACCCAGTTATTTCTAATAGTTGTCCTTTCATGTTATTCTTCCACTTCCACTCTCTTCATGAATGTCAACTGCCAACAAATTCAGTCAACAAACGTTTCTTAGTCACAAGCAGTTGCTCAGTTACTGGGGATCCAGAGGGGACCACGACAGCCAAAAGCCTTTTTCTTCTTAAGGAACTTTCATTTTTTTTCATTTTCTTTTCTTTGTAGTTTTCATTGTGATTCCCTGTTTACTTATTTTTTGTCTTTAAAATATATTTATCATTTAATTGATAAATAATTGCATATATTCTGTACAACATGATGTTTTGAAACACATATACATTGTAGATAGGTTAAACTGACCTAATTAACATATGCATTACCTCATATGCTCATCATTTTTTAATAGGAACAGTTAAAAATCTGCTCTCTTAGCAATTTTCTTTCTTCTTTTTCCTTCAAATTCAGTCACATTTTCAGGCTCCATTTCTAATTCTAGTTCTCTTGCTATTGAGACCCTGTGACAGGGTGTCAATCTGTCACCCAGTTTGGAGTGCAGTGGTGCAATCACAGCTCACTGAAGTCTCAACCTCCCAACTTCAAGCGATCCTCCCACTTCTGCCTGTAGATAGGAGTATAGGCATGTGCCACCACAGCTGGCAAATTTTTTTTTTTTTTTTTTTTTTTTTTTTTTTTTTTTTTTTTTAGAGACGGGGTTTCGCCATGTTTCCCAGGTTAGTCTTGAACTCCTAGGCTCAAGAGTTTGAACGCTGAAGTGATCCACCCGTCTTGGATTCCCAAAGTGCTGGGATTACAGGCATAAGCCACTGTGCCTGGCCAGCAATTTTCAAGAATACAATACATTTTTATTAACTACAGTCACCATATTATTCAGTAGATCTCTTGAATTTATTCCTCCTATCTAACTGAAATTTTATACCCTTTGACCAGCATCTCCCCAGTCCTTGCCCCTCCTCCCCAGGTCCTGGTAAGCACCATTCTACTTTCTGCTTCAGAGTTAAGCAACTTTTTAAGATTCCACATAAGTGAGATCATGTAGCATTTGTCTTTCTGTTTCTGGCAACTTTCCTTTAATATAACATCCTCCAGGTTCATCCATATTGTCAAAAATGACAGGAATACCTTCCTTTTAAGGCTGAATGGTATGGTATTCCATAGAGAGTGTGTGTGTGTGTGTGTGTGCGTGTGTGTGTGTGTGTGTGTGTGTATAACATTTTCTTTATCCAATCATTTATTGATGGACATGTAAGTTAATTTCATATATTGACTACTGTGAATAATGCTGCATATAATGGGAATGCAGCTATCTCCTCAACATATTTATTTCATTTCCTTTAAATATATACCCAGTACTGGGATTGTTGGATCATATAGTGGTTCTAGTTCTTTTTGTGGAACCTCCATACTGTTTCTCATAATAGTTATACAAATTTACATTCCTACCAACAGTGTAAAGGCATACTTTGGAGATATTGATGGTTTGGTTCCAGGCCACTTCGATTAAAGCAAATATTGCAATGAAGTGATTCATACAAATGTTTTAGATTCTCAGTGTTACATTTGCATAATACTATAGTCTATTAAGTGTGCAATAGCATAATATCTAAAGAACAACATACATAGCTTAATTTAAGAATACTTTATTGCTAAAAACAATGCTAACAATCATCTGAACCTTCGGTGACTCATAATCTTTTAGCTGATGGAGGGTCCTACCTGCATGTTGAGGGTTGCTGAATGATCAGGGTGGTGGTTACTGCAGATTGGAGTGGCTATGGCAGTTTCTTACAATAAGGTAACAGTGAGGTTTGCCATGTCAATGGGCTCTTCCTTTTGTGAAAGATTTATCTGTAGCATGAGATGCTGTCTGATAGCATTTTACCCATAGCAGAACTCTTTTAAAATTGAAGTCAACGATCTCAAACCCTGATGATGCTTTATCAACTAAATTTTGTAATATCCCAAATACTTTATTATTTCAACAATCTTCACAGCATCTTCACCAGGAGTACTTGCCATCTTGAGAAACCACTTTCTTTGCTCATCCAAAAGAAGCAATTCCTCATCTGTTTAAGTTTTATCATGAGATTGAAGCAATTCATTCACATTTTCAGGTTCTATTTCTAATTCTAGTTCTCTTGCTATTTCTAACACATCTGCAGTGACTCTCTCTGCTGAAATTGTAAACCCCTCAAAGTCATCCAAGAGGATTGGAATCAATTTCTTCCAAAATCCTGTTAATACTGATATTTTGACATCATCTCATGAATCACAAATGTTCTTAATGGCATGTTGAATATTTTCCAGAAGGTTTTCAATTTACTTTGTCCAGACTGATCAGAAGAAATTACTATCCATGGCAGTTATAACCTTATGAAATGTATTTCTTAAACAATAAGACTTGAAGTCAAAATTTCTTATTGATTCATGAGCTGCAGAATAGATGTTGTGTTAGCGGGCATGAAAACAACATTAATCTCCTTGTACATCTCCATCAGAACATTTGAGCGACCAGGTGCATTGTCAGCAAGCAGTAATATGTTGAAAGGAATCATTTTCTCAGCAGTGGATCTCAACAACGGGCTTAAAATATTCAGTAAATCATGCAGTAAACAGATATGCTGTCATCCAGGCTTTGTTGTTTTATTTATAGAGCATAAGCAGAGTAGATTTAGCATAATTCTTAAGAGCCCAAGGATTTTCCGAATGGCAAATGAACATGAACTTCAACTTAAAGTCATTGGCTGCATTAGCCTCTAACAAGACTCAGCCTATCCTTTGAATCTTTGAAGGCAGACACTGACTTCTTTAGCTATGAAAGTCTTAGATGGCATCTTCTCCCAATAGAAAGCTGTTTTGTTATATTGAAAATCCATTGTTTAGTGTAGCCACCTTCATCAATGATCCTAGTTAGATCTTTTGGGTAACTTGCTGCAGCTTCTCCTTCAGCACTTGCTGTTTCACCTTGCAGTTTAATATTATGGAGATGATGTTTTTCCTTAAACCTCATGCACTAATCACTGCTAGCTTCAAATTTTCTGCATTTTACTAACCTCTCTCAGCCCTCATACAATTAAAGACAGTTAGGACTTGCTCCAGATTAGGCTTTGACTAAGGGAAATGTTGTAGCTGGTTTAGTCTTTTATCTAGATCACTCAAACTTTACCCATATTAGCAATAAATCTGGTTTGCTTTCTTACCATTCATGTGTTCAGTTGAGTAGCACCTTTAATTTCCCTCAGGAACTTTTCCGTTGCATTCATAACTTGGATAACTGGTACAAGAGGCCTAGCTTAGGTCTATCTTGGCTTTCAATATGCCTTTCTCACTAAGCTTAATCATTTCTAGTCTTTTTTTTTTATTTCAAGGGAGAGACATGTGGCTCTTCCTTTCACTTGAATGCTTAGAGATCATTGTGGGGTTATTAACTGGCCTAATTTCAATATTGTGTCTCAGAAAATAGGGAGGCTGTAGGAGAGGGAGACAGGGAAAGATGGGAGGAGCTGTCAGAACACACACAACATTTCTTGATTATGTTTCCCATCTTAGATGGGCATAGTTCATGGTGCCTCAAAACAATTACAATAGTAATATCAAAGATCACTCATCAGAGATCAATATAATAGATATAAGAATAATGACAAAGTTTGAAATATTGGGAGAATTACCAATGTGTGGTGCAGAGACATGAAGTCAGCAGATGCTGTTGGAAAATGATGCCGAATGACTTCATGGATGCAGGGTTGCCACAAACCTTCAATTTGTAAAAAATAAAAAATTACAATGTCTCCAAAGCACAATTAAACAAAATGCAATATAAGAAGGTGTGCCTGTACATAGGCTTCCCTTTCTTCACATCCTCACCAATACTTGTTATCTTCCATATTTTTGATAATAGCCATTCTAACAAGTGTGAGGTGATATCGCATTGTGGTTTTAATTTGTATTTTCCTGTTGATTAGTGATGTTGAGCTTTTTTCATATACTTGTTGGCTATTTGCATGTCTTGTTTTGAGAAATGTCAATTCAATTCAGGTCCTGTTTCCATTTTTTAATTGGGTTATTTGTTTTCTTGCTATTCAGTTGTTTGAGTTTCTTATATATTTTGGATATTAATCGCTCATCAGACGTATGGTTTTCAAATATTTTATCCCATTCCACAGGGTGTCTCTTCAACGTGTCATCTCCCTTGCTATGCAGAAACTTTTAGCTTGATGTAATCCCATTTGTCTAATTTTGCTTCAGTTTCCTGTGCTTCTGGGGTCATAGCTAAAATATAATCACCCAGATAAATATCACAGAGCTTTTTCCCTATATTTTCTTCTACTAGTTTTACTAGTAGTTTTACTAGTTTCAAGTCTTATATTTAAGTCTTTAATCCATTTTGACTTGCTGTTTGTATATATTATGAGTGAAGCTTGTAATATTATTCTTCTGCCTGTGGATATCCAGTTTTGCCAGCACCATTTATTAAGGAGACTGTTCTTCCCCGTTGTGTGGTCTTGACATCTTTGTCAAAAATAAATTTACCTTAAATGTGTGGGCCTATTGCTTGGCTCTTCATTCTGTTCCATTGGTCTATGTATCTGTTTTTATGCCAGTACCATGCTGTTTTGATTAATAGGGCTATGTGATATATTTTGAAGACAGATATTGTATTGCCTCCAGCTTTGTTCTTTTCACTCGAAATTTCTTTGGCCATTTGGGCTCTTTTGTGCCTCCACACAAATGTTAGGATTGTTGTTTCTATTTCTGTTAGAAATTTTCATTGAAATTTTGATAGGAATTGTATTGAATCTGTGGATTGCTTTGGGTACTATGTACATTTTAACAATATTAGTTTTTCCCATCCATGTATATAGAACATCTTGCCATTTATTTGAGTCTTCTTCAATTTCTTTCATCAATATTTTATGGTTTTCAGTGTAGAGATCTCTTACCTCCTTGGTCTTCATTCCTAAATAGTGTATCTTATTTGTTTTTTAATGCTATTATAATTGAAACTGTTTTCTTGATTGGGGGGTGATAGTTCATTATTAGTGTAGAGTAACACTACTAATTTTTGCAACCTTACTGAATTTATAATTTCCAACAGTTTTTTTGGTAGGGTTTCTGGGATTTTTCTATATATAAGATTATGTCATTTGCAAACAGAAACCATTTAAACTTATTTCTTTCTGAATGGGATGCCTTTTATTTCTTTCTCTTGCCTAATCACTTTAGCTAGGAATTCCAGTACTAGTTTAAGTAGAAGTAAGAAGAGTGGGCATCCTTGCCTTATTCTTTATTGTAAACAAAGAGCTGTCAACTTTTCACTACTGAGTATGATGTTAGCTGTGAGTTTGTCATACGTGGCCTTCATTGTGTTGAATACATTCCTTCTGTATTAGTCTATTTGTGTTACTATCAAGAAATATCTAAGACTGGGTAATTCATAAAGAAAAGAGGTTTATTTTGGCTCACAGTTCTACAGGCTGGGCAGGAAATATGGTACCAGCAACTGCTCTTGGTGAGGCTTCAGGAAACTTACAATAATGGCAGAAGGCAAAGGGGAAGCAGATACATCATATCACAAGAGCTGGGAATAAGAGAGCAAGTGGGGGAGACCCAAGCTCTTTTAAACAACCAGATCTTATGTGTACTAATTGTGCAAGAATTCACTTTTCTCCAAGAGTATGGTGCTAAGCCATTAATGAAGGATTATCCCTGTGATTCAATCACCTCCCAACAGGTCCAACCTCCAACATTGGAATCACATTTCAACATGAGATTTGGAGGAGACAAATATCCAAACCATATCATTCTGCCCCTGGCCCCTCAAATCTCACATCTTTCTCACATTTCAAAATATAATCATGCCTTTGCAATAGTCCTCCAAAGTCTTAACACACTCCAGCATTAATTCAAATGTCCCAAGTCCAAAGTCCAAAGTCTCATCTGGAGATGAGTTCCTTCCACCTATGAGCCTGTAAGATAAAAATCAACTTATTTACTCCCAAGATACAATGTTCGCATAGGTATTGGCCAGACATTCTCATTCCAAAAGGGAGAAATTGGCTAAAAGGAAAGGGCAATAGATCCCATGCAAGTCTAAACCCAGAAGAACAGTCATTAAATCTTAAAGCACCAAAATAATCTCTCTTGACTCCATGTCCCACATCCAGGGCACACTCATATGAGAGATGGGCTCCCAAGGTTTTGGGCAGTTCCATCTCTGCGGCTTTGCTAGATGTAGACTACGTAGCTTCTCTGATGGATTGGAGTCCAGTGTTTATGGCTTTTCTAGGCTGAGGATACAAGTTGCAGGTGGCTCAACTATTACTGTGTCTGGAGGGCAGCAGCCCCCTTCCCACAGCTCCCCCAGGCAGTGCCTGGTAGGGACTCTGTGTGGGGGCTCCAACCTCACATTTCCTCTTGATGCTGCCATAGTAGAGGCTCCCTGTTGGGGAATCCGCTCCTGTAGCAGGCTTTTGCTTGGACACTCAGTTTTTCCGACACATCCTCTGAAACCTAGGTGGAAATCACCAAGCCTCCTTCACTCTTGCACTTTTTTTTCCATGGAGATTTAATGTCACATAGAAGCTGACAAGGCTTACAGCTTGTGCCCTCTGAAGCAGTGGTCTGAGCTGTACCTACGACCCTCTGAGACACAGCTGGAGCTAGAGCAGCAGGGATGCAAGCAACAGCCTCCTGAGGTGTCACAGGGCATTGGCTCCCTGGGCCTGGCCCATGAAGCCATTCTTTACTCTTAGGACTCTGGGCCTATGATGGGAGGAGCTGTCCTACAGACTTCTGAAATGCCTTCAAGGCCTTTTCCCCATTATCTTAGACATTGACACTTGGCTCCCTTTTAGTCATGATAATCTAAATTGCTCTACAGACTGCTTGAATCCCACTCCTGAAAACACTTTTTCCTTCTTTGTGACATGGCTAGGCTGCAAGTTTTCCAATTTTTTTTTTTTTTTTTGCTCTGCTTCCCTTTTAAATATGAGTTCCAACTTTAAGTCATTTCATTGCTCCTGTTTCTGATTGTAGGATGCTATAAGCTGCTTGGCCATCTCATAAACACTTTGCTGATTAGAAATTCCTTTCACCAGATACCTGAAGCCATCACTCTTAGGTTCAAACACACCAGACCCCTAGGGCATGGACACAATTCAGCCAAATTCTTTGCTAGGGCATACACAAATGATTCTTAGTCCAGTTCCCAATAACTTCCTCATTTACACCTGAGACCTCAACAGCCTGGACTTCACTATCCACATCTCTATCAGCATTTTGGTCACAACCATTTAACCAATCTCTAAGAAGTTCCGAAATTTCCCTAACCTTTCTGTCTTCTTCTGCAACCTTCACTTTTTCCATCTCTATCTGTTACCCAGTTCCAAATCTGCTTCCACATTTTCAGGTATCTTTATAGCAACTCCTCAATATCAAATTTCTGTATTAAGCTGTTTTTGTATCGCTATAAAGGAATACCTGCGGCCGGGTAATTTATAAAGAAAAGAGGTTTATCAGTTCATGGTTCTGCAGGCTGTACAAGCATGGCACCAACATCTGAACAGCTTATGGGTGAAGGCTTCAGGAAGCTTATAATCATGGCAGAAGATGAATGGGGAACAGGCAAGAGTGAGAACAAGAGAGAAAGGGAAGTGGTCTCAGACTCAAATAACCAGATCTCACATGAACTAACTGAGCAAGAACTTACTTATCACCAAAGGATTTGGGCTAAGCCATTCATAAGGGATCATCCCCCATGATCCAATCACCTCCCAACAGGCCCACACCTCTAACACTAGGAATCACATTTCAACATGAGGCTTGGAGGGGACAAATATTCAAATCATATTACCTTCTAAACCTAATTTAGAGTTTTTACCATGAAAGAATGTTGAATTTTCTCAAATGCTTTTTCTGTGTCTATTGAAATTTTTGTCCTTCATTCTTTATTCTCACCAATTGTGCATCACGTTTGTTAATTTGTGTATGTTGAACCATTCTAGCATCTCAGAGATAAATCCTTTTTGATTATAACGAATGTTCTTTTTAATGTGCTGTTAAATTTAGTTTCCTAGAATTTTGTTGAAGATTTTTACATCTATGTTCATCAGATATATTGACCTGTAGTTAGTTTTTTATTGTTGTGTCTTTGCCAGTTTTTGGTATCAGGGTAATTCTGGCCTCATAAAATGAGTTTGGAAGTAGTCCCTCTTCTTAGATTTTTTGGAAGAGTTTCAGAAGAATTGGTATTAGTTCTTTAAATATTGGTGGAATTCAGCAGTGAAGGCGTCAGACCCTGAGCGTTTCCTTGTTGTGGGACTATTTATTTCTTATTCACCATTAGTCTGTTCAGATTTTCTATTCGTTCATGATTTAACATTTGTAGTTTGTATGTATCTAGTAATTTATCCATTTTTTCTAGGTTATCCAATTTATTGGCATATAATTGTTCATTGTAGGTTCTTATGATCATTTGTTTTTATGTAGTTATCAGCTACAATGTGTTCTCTTTCATTTCTGATTTTCAGTCTTCTCTCCTTTGTTGTAGTCTAGCTAAACATTTGCCAATTTTATATACATTTTCAAAAACCACTCCTACTTTCATTGATCTTTTCTATCTCCTTTCTACTCTCCATTTAATTGTATCTGTGCTGATCTTTATTATTTCTTTCCTTCTACCAACTTTGGGCCTAGTTTATTCTTTTTTTCTATTTCTCTGAAGTATAATCTTATGTTATTTATTTAAAACCTTTTTTGATGTAGGCACTTGCTACTATCACCCGCATTCCATAAGTTTTGGTATGTTATGTGTCCATTTGTACTGGACAGAGCTTGTATTTCTAATGAAAGATAGTGGTACCCCTCCAACCCAGTCCAGCTACTGATGGTACTGGTACCTCTGGACTGTGAAGGAGCATGGATTCTGAAGTGCTCCCAGGTATACATCCCTGAGGGGCCTAAATGATGGTGCCCTCTCTTCTGGTAGCTTTGTCTGAAGCCACCAATGGGACCACCTGAAAGGGTAGGAATGCTCCTTTCAGTTCTGTGCTATCCTTTTGTCACCTGGACACTGAAACAACATTGCTTCTAACCTGTATCTCAGTGAGGCTCCTGTGAGAAAAACATCTTCAGTTTCTTTCTCAGCAACATCTCCCCAACAACTCACTCCCACCACCCTAGCTCAGACTTTCAAACTTGGTTCCTGTCTCTGGAGAACAAACACAATCATGTCCTATCAGATTGCCCTTCCATCCCTACAAAACCAGTTTCTGACACAGCCCTCCTCTGCATAAAACCTTTTGCCTTCTGCAGATTATCTCAAGCAAATAAACATATGGGGGTCTTCACATACCCAGATGTGTAGACTATCAGTTCACTTTTAGCAGGACCCCTGAGACACATAATACATTTCATGTAATTCATAGAACAACCTCACGTGATCAAATACTAGTTTTCAGTCAATCATCAATAATTACAAACTCTAGAAAGCTTTGAAGACCAAACAGTTTTTCATAAGTTTGTTGCTAAAACTTACATGGTGACAAAACTTGTTGTGAATTGACAAGAGGCTCTCTCAGTGTAACTATTCATAGGCTTTGTTGCAGATATATTGATGTGATTGATTACTGGGTTCTGTCCCACTGAAGGTGTTATACAACATGCAGTATTTTTAAAATTAAAAACCCACAAAACTTGAATTATAAAACTTATTTGGCCCCAAGGCTTTTGGATAAGTGATTGGGAAATGACCTTTATAACAATCTTATAGATATGGAGACTGACATTCAGAGGCATTAGGAGACCTGAACAAGGAAATAAAGGTAGGAAGTAGTGGAGACTGGAATAGAATCAAGGTCTTTCTTAATCCTAACCCCTTGAAATTTCCAGGACACTGTACAAGTTTGGCTGGGTAATTATGTATGAGAAAGGGTGAACAGATGGTTGCTGACATCAAAGGATAATTGAGACCAAGTAATCAGAGAACATCTAGAAATCTTGCCTTGAAAATTATGTGTATCTGTTAGTTAGCTACCTTGGTAACATAATTTATCACAATTCTACACTCAAAAGAAATTTTTCTCTGGGAGTGTGTTTTAGTCCTGTATTTAGAAAACTGAGAAAGTAATGAAAAAACTCAGAGAGGATCCATTTCTAAAGGATTCTATGATGTTTACCACTCTACTCTCTGGCCAGAACATGTGGACTTGAATTAGAAAATTTGAACAGTACTATCTGTTCAAGATAAACCACCTATGTGACCAAATAAGCCATGTTCTAGAAATGCGACAGCTTCATTTAATATTTCCAGTACTTTAATAACTATACTCATAAGAGTTGCTATTTTTGAGATTCTACTAGAGATGAGAAACTGCCATATAGTTTACATCATTTTATTTAAGAACCTTATAAGAAATCTGAAACAGAGAGATGATGATGAGGAGGAGGATAACAATAATAATACTGTATTAAATCCTTCCATGTGGTAGTCATTATGTGAACTAAATTCCACAGGTGCATTTTCTCTATCCTCACAACAAACTCATTATATATATATATATATATTACTAATATTCCATTAAAGATAAGGAAATTGAGGCACAGAATGCTTAAAGTGACATTTCCTAGGTAATACAGCTACTTACGTGGTCACTGTTTCATAGTGGAGAAGAGGTTTGAATCCAGTTCTTTGTTTCCGAAGACCAAATATAGCCTCACTGAACTAGTCTTGTCAATGGTGTATGTGAAAATTCTCCAAACAGTTTTAGCATCTAGCTGAATGGTATAAGCATGGAATAGACTGTCCCATTAGATGGGGCAGCTTATACAAATTCTAGAGTCCAATACCTGATAAATACATGTGTGCTGTGAAATATCATTGGAAATAATATTTAAATACATCAAAGTGTTGGAAAAATGACAGGCTGCATGTGAAAGAACAACATGCAGCTCAGGAAAGTATCGATTAATTAAGGAATACAACAATTCTCTATAGGCAAACAGGAGTGTGTCAGATCTGCCCTCAGTTATGGGAGTCGGGATTGAAAATTCTCCCTACCAGGGGCACAGCATACCTGATTGGGCTCTTTGGAGAGCATCATCAGATCAAAGCAGTGACCAAGACAGACTATGAAAAGGCAGGCTAAGTATTAACAGTGGCAGAGTCAAATGTAATGTTTTCAGGTGAACCTGAGACTACAGAATGGCATTGTTTTTATGGACCTCAGTTGCCTCACCTATAAAATAGTGATTAAAGAAATGTCATTCCCAGCTGAAGGAAGGGAACTACATCAGGTAGCCTCAAAATCCCTTCCAGCTCTAAGAGATCTATTAATATGATTCATTTGAAAGAGGTATTCATGAAGTATAATGATGACTACAAGTACACAAAGGCCTTACCCTTAGTTTCAGATACTCTTGCAGTCAAAGAAGCAAAGAAGCCTTCTCCCCCTGACCCCACTTCATCTTGAGCTGCAAAAATTTCCCAGCTGCAAAGGAACTGCAAATATTTTTTCTACAGAAAATGTGATTCAGCCTTAGAAAAGTATCATGTCTCTCTTTCAGGCATGCCCTGGCCTAGACACATGACCAGAGCTTTTTGAAATCACAGCGTACAAGTAACCTCACTGGACACATACACAGTTCAAGACTAACCTGCTTCGTCCATATAAATGACCAAATTCAGCTGTATTAAGATAGGGAGCTTCACAACAGCTGTGGTTTGATGCAACGACCCTACCCTGGAATCTCAGCTGAAGGTCTGTTTTTGTTTGTTTGTTTCAGGGTTACCTTGTACCCATATAGTACACAATCATTTTTTAGTGGCTTGAATGGGTAGAAAAATTGACCACAAAAAAGAAAGAACTAATAGATAATCTAATGCAATGCATACGGCTATCTGGCAGAAATGTTAGCAGAACACAATGTTAGGTAGCACTTTATTGTGCACTATCATTAATGATACAGAAGACAAAAAGAAAAAGGCAGTCGGTCTCAGTCTGCAAAAGAGCCCAATTAAGGGTCAACAAGGAAGTAAGAACATGAAAAACAATGGATGTGTCACAAAAAGGAAACAGTGTGCTGGAGTCCACTTGGTGGGAGCAACACTATTCACATTAAACCACACTCTTCTCGGGATGTATGTGTGAGGTGGCAATAAAGGGATTGCCAGTAGCAGTGGGAGGAGATAGAGACCATGAAAGCAGTCTGAAGGAGGCCCGTGTTCTGATATATGAGATACAGACCTGTGTCACTAGGCAATGAGACTGTTTTTACAGATGAGGCACCAAGTGACATGAAGCATTCATCTAGACAGCTAAGCAAAACAAATATGTATTTTGTTTTGTTTTTATCTTCTTAAGAATATCTGAATATATGGTACCATACAAGGTAATATATAAATCATCCCCTTTGTTAGAAACACAGCGGGTTTGTAGAGCAAGAAGGCAGTGGAGTTAACTAGAAGAAAAATTAACCAGAACTCTTAGCCTCCATGAACAGATGGATTGTTTTTTTCTCCAGGACAGAATTTTGAATATTCTGCTTCCTCAGTGCCACACAACCTATGAGATACGCCCATAACCAACTATCCAGAAACCTAAGGGTAGCTACAAACCAGTAGGATTAGGTGAGTCAAAATGATGTGTCCTGACTGACAAAAAGGGCTCATAAGGCCAATACCTTCTTTCCAATCGCGAAGAGGCGTCTGCAAGAAAGGGACTACATGTCTCTAAGTGGACCAACTGACTCCTGGGAACTGATATTAGGTCTCATTTCTCATATCCTTAAATGCTCACACCCAGGTGGTGCTGAATATAAAAAAAAAAAAAAATCATACTGCCTCTAGATTGGAAAACAGACAGAGGCACACACTGGGACAGACTATTACCATTTGTATTGATTGAGAATACAGGCTCAGAAATCAGCCATGCAGGACTCAAATGTAATTAAAAATCAGCAGTAAAGCAATAACCAACTACCCCACTCCCATCACACAAACCCAACACAACATGTATCTATAAATTAAAAACATAAACACATTTTTAGATAACTCTTGAATTAAAGATGAACTTAAGGTGATATTGCAAATGCTTTAGAAATCAAAGATGATGAGTGAAGTATATATCCAAGTCTTTTTGATGCAGCTAAAGCAATATTTAGAGAAAAACATGGCCTTAAATTCATATATTAGAAATTAAAAATAAATTAAAAGTAAATGAACTAAGCTATCAAGTCCAGGAGTTATATTTAAAAAGCAGCACAGTAAAATAAACCCATGGGTTGGGCACAGTGGCTCACGTCTGTAATCCCAGTACTTTGGGAAGCTGAGGCAGGCAGATTGCTTGAACCCAGGAGTTCAAGACTAGTCCGGGCAACATGGCAAAAACCCATCTCTACCAAAAAATATACAAAAATTAGCCAGTATGGTGGCACACGCCTGTGATCTCAGCTACTCAGTGGCTGACGTGGGAGGATAGCTTGAGCCCAGGAGACAAAGGTTGCAGTGAGCCATTACTGCACCACTGCACTCCAGCCTGGGCAAGAGCCAGACCCTGTCTCAAAAACTAAAATAAAAATAAAATAAGCCCATGGAAATTGGAGGGGAGCGATTAAGATAAAAACAGAAAACAGTTAAATAGAAAACAAATAAATTATAGTTGATCAATAAAACAGAATTGTTTTTAAAGTCAAGCTTTCATTAAGTACTAATATGAAAAAATGAAGAAGGTGAAAATAATATCATTAGGAAGCCAAATATGATCACAAATATAGGTACCAAGGTAATATTAAAAATAAAAGAATAATACATAAAATTTTAAACTAATATGTTTCAACGAGAAAATTTTTAGAAAAATAAAATTACTAAAATATACCCAATACAAAATAGAAAATCATAGAAAAAAAATAGAACAAATTGAAAGTATAAACATTTTATGGCTGAGTAATTCCAAACCTTCAAATCACAGACTACTTTCTTTTTACTGAAATGGTTCCAGAGGGTACAACAAGATGGACTGCTCACCCAAATAAGACAGAACACAAAAGAAAAAGAAATTTATAGATTAATCTTACTTATTAATATAAATATAAAAATTCTAGAGAAAATAGAATCTAGCAGTTCATTAAAATGATGCACTACAACCAAGTAGAGTTTATCCAGGAATGTATGCATACTCCGACATTAGCAAATGTATTCAAGTAATTAACTATAGTTACAAACTAAATAGACAAATCATATAATCATCTCAACAGATGTTGAAAAAAATTTGGCAAAATTTTATGCCCATCCATGTTAAAAATCTGTAGCCAATAAAGATTAGAAGAGAGCTTCCTCAACAAACTTCGCGAAAATTATGAGGAGCTAATTTTGACTATGAGCACAATCTTTGGAGTCAGACTGCCTAAGTTGAGGTCTTTGTTCCATTGTATCCAAGATGTGTGATCTTGGAAAATTATTTAGTCTTTCTGAGCTTCACTTTTCTCATGCCCAAAAGATGAGAAAAATAATAGTACATTCCTCATAGTATTGTTGCAAGGATTAAATGATGTAAAATATATAAAGGCACTTACAAGAGTTTGGGCAATATAAAGCACTCAATAAATATGAATTATTATTGGTAGCTCTTATTAACAAAGTATTAAAATGAGAAACAAGATAAAGATGGCCACTATTACCACATACTATTCAACACTGTGATATCCCAACCAATGCAATAAGTTAGGATAATATCCTAACCAATTTAAAAATAAGAGAATAAGGATTAGAAAGCAAGAGACAAAATTGCTGTTACTCACAAACAATATGGCTATATAAAAATCTGAGGTAGTCAATGGATAAAATATTAGAACAAATATGTAAGTCCTGGAGGGTGTTTAGATGAAATATCAGGCTACAAACATCAGTACCTTTGCTACACATCAGCAACAACTTATTAGGGTACATGATAGGAAAATAAATATCATTCGCAATAGCAACAGAAACTTAAAAATACTACTTACGAGACACTGAGCAAGTTATTTAACCTTTCTCAGCTTCAATTTTCTCTATGTTAGATAGACAAGTTAATAGTACATATCTCACAGGATTGTTAAAAGAATTGAATGAGACGGTACAAAATATACACTCATTAAGTGGCAGCATTATTACAGTACAACTATTGTTATTGTTGGTGTTTAAAAATTATCTACTCAATTTAGATGGCCACACAATAACAGTGGGGCACTTTATCACCCCACTGACAGCATTAGACAGATCATCAAGGTAGAATACTAACAAATTCTGGACTTAAATTCAACACTTGACATATTGGACCTAATAGACATTTACAGAATACTCCACAATACTTATTGCATTAGTTAGGACATCACAGTGTTGAATAGTAAGTGGTAATAGTGGCCACCCTTATCTTGTTTTTCATTTTAATATTTTGTCAATAAGGACTACCAATAACAATTCATCAACCACAAAATATATATTCTTCTTATCTGCACATGGAATATGCTCCAAGATAGAGCACATGCTTTGCCATAGCAAGTGCCAATAAATTTTTTAAAAATCTAAATCAACCAACCATGCTTACAGACCACAGCGGAATAAATATAGAAATCAATGCCAAAATCTCTCAAAACCACATAATTACATGAAAATTAAATAACTTGCTTCTGAGTGATTTTGAAGTAAACAATAAAATTAAGGGAGAAATCAAAAGATTCTTTGAAGTAAATGAAAACAGAGACACAACATACCAAAATCTCTGGGATGCAGCAAAAGCAGAGTTAAGAGGAATGTTTATAGTGCTAAACAATTACCTCAAAAAGTTAGAAAGATCTCAAATTAATGATCCTAAATCACACCTAGAGGAACTAGAAAAACAAAAACAAACTAAGCTCAAACCTAGCAGAAGGAAAAAAATAACTAAAATCAGAGCAGAGTTGAATGAAATTATGACACAAAAATCCATACAAGGAATAAACGAACACAAAAGTTCATTATTTGAAAAAATAAACAAGGTAAATACACTGCTGGCTAGATTAAGAAAGAAAAAGATTCAAATGAGTATGATTAGAAATGACAAAGGTGACATTACAACTGATTCCACAGAAATACAAAAGATCCTCAGAGATGACTATGAACACCTCTGTGCACACAAACTAGAAAATGTAGATTAAATTGATAAATTCCTGGCAATGCACAATCTTCCAAGATTGAGTCAGGAAGAAATTGAAACCCTGAAAAGATTAAGTTGAGAAACTGAATCAGCAATTCAAAACCTATAAACCAAAAAGAGCCCCTGACCAAATAGATTCTCAGCCAAATTCCACCAGATAGCCAAAAGGCTGATACTAATTCTACTGAAAATATTTCAAAAAATTGAAGAGGAGAGGCTCCTCCCTAACTCATTCTACAAAGCGAACATCACCCTGATACTCAAACCTGGCAAAGACAGAACAACAAAAAAGAAAACTACAGATCAATATCCCTGATGAACATAGACACAAAAATCTCCAACAAAATACTAGCAAACTGAATCCAGCAGCACATCAAAAAGATAATTCACCACACTTAAATAGGTTACATTCCTGGCATGCAAAGTTGATTTGACATAAATCAATAAATGTGATTCATCACATGAACAGAATGAAAAACAAAAAACATGTGATCATCTTAATAGTCACAGATAAAGTGTTTGGTAAAAATCCAATATCCCTTCATGATAAAAAAACCCACAACAAACTAGGCTTCAAAGAAACATACCTCAAAATAATAAGAGCCAACTATGACAAACCCATAGCCAACATCATACTAAATGGACGAAGGCTGGAAGCATTCCCCCTGAGAACTGAAAGAAAACAAAGATGTTCACTCTCACCAGTCCTATTCAGCATAGTACTGGAAATCCTGGCCAGAGCAATTAGGCAAGAGAAAGAAATAAAAGGCATCCAAATAGAAAAATAAGTCAAACTACCTCTCTTCATGGACAATTCTATACCTTCATAATTCTATACCTAGAAAACCTTAAAGACTCCACCAAAAGCCCCCTGGAACGAATAAAAAGCTTCACTAAAGATTAAGGATAGAAAATCAATGTACAAAAATCAATAGCATTTCTATACACCAGTAACATCCATACTGAGAGCCAAATCAAGAACATAGTCATACTTACAATAGCCACACACAAAAATAAATATTTAGGAATATACTTAAACAAGTAGGTGAAAGATCTCTACAAAGAAAACTATAAAACTCTGCTGAAACAAATCATAGGTGACACAAATAGAATAACATTCCATGCTCATATACTGGAAGAATCAATGTCATTAAAATAGCCATACTGCTTAAAGCAACCTACAGAGTCAACACTCTTCCTATCAAACTATCAATGTCATTTTTCACAGAATTAGAAAAATATATTCTAAAATTCATATGGAACAACAACAACAAAAAAAAAAGCCCAAATATCCAAAGGAATCCTAAGTAAAAGGATGAAGCCAGAGGCATCACATTACCTTACTTCAAACTATACTATAAGGCTATAGTAACCAAAACTGCATGGTATAAAAACAGACACACAGACCAATGGAACAGAATAGAGAATAGAGAACCCAAAAATACGGCTGCACACCTACAGCCATCTGATCATTGAAAAAGTCAACAAAAATAAGCAATGGGGAAAGGACTCCCTATTCAATAAATGGTGTTGGGATAGCTAGCCACATAGAGAAGAATGAACCTAGATCTTTACCTTTTACCATATACAAAAATTAACACAAAATGTGAAGATTTAAATGGAAGTCCTCAAACCATAAGAATCCTAGAAGAAAATCTAGGAAACTCCATTGCGAACATTGGCCTTGGGAAATAATTTACAGCTAAGTCTTCAAATACAATTGCAATAACAACAAAAATTGAGAAGGGGGATCTAATTACACTAAAGAGCTTCTACACAGCAAAGAAAACTATCAATAGAGTAAACAGACAACCTACAGAATGGTAAAAAATATTTGCAAATTACATATCTGATAAAGGCCTAATATCCAGAATCTATAAGGAAGTTAAATATTTCAGCAAGCAAAAATCAATTAACCCAATTAAAAAGTGGGCAAGCCAGGCACAGCGGCTCAAGCCTGTAATCCCAGCACTTTGGGAGGTCGAGGCGGGTGGATCACGAGGTCAAGAGATCGAGACCATCCTGGTCAACATGGTGAAACCCTGTCTCTACTAAAAATACAAAAAACTAGCTGGGCATGGTGGCACGTGCCTGTAATCCCAGCTACTCAGGAGGCTGAGGCAGGAGAATTGCCTGAACCCAGGAGGCGGAGGTTGCAGTGAGCCGAGATGACGCCATTGCACTCCAGCCTGGGTAACAAGAGTGAAACTCTGTCTCAAAAAAAAAAAAAAAAAAAATGGGCAAAATACATGAACAGACACCTATCAAAAGAAGACATACAAGTGGCCAACAAACAGAAACAGTGCTCAGCATCACTAATCTCGGATAAATGCAAATACAAACCACAGTAAGATACCATCTCACACCAGTCAGAATGGCTCTTATTAAAAAGTCAAACAACAACAGATGCTTGTGAGAATGTGGAAAAAAGGGAACACTTATACATTGCTGGTGGCAGTGTAAATTAGTTCAGCCACTGTGGAAAGCAGTCTTCAGATTTTTGAAAGAACTTAGAACTACCATTCGACCTAGCACTCCCTTTACTGGGTATATATCCAAAAGAAAATAAATTGTTTTACCAAAAAGACACATGCACTTGTATGTTCATCACAGCACTATCCACAATAGCAAAGACGTGGAATCAACCAAGGTGCCCATCAGTGGTGGAATGGATAAAGAAAATGTGGTACAGGCCAGACGCAGTGGCTCACGCCTGTAATCCCAGCACTTTGGGAGGCCGAGGTGGGCAAATCACGAGGTCAGGAGTTTGAGACAAGCCTGGCCAATATGGTGAAACACCATTTCTACTAAAAATACAAAAAATAGCCAGGTGTGGTGGTGCACACCTGTAGTACCAGCTACTTGGGAGGCTGAGGCAGGAGAATCGCTTGAACCTGGGAGGCGGACATTGCAGTGAGCCGAGATCATGACACTGCACTACAGCCTGGGCGACAGAGCAAGACTCTGTCTCAAAAAAAAGAAAAGAAAATATGGTACATATACACCATGGAATACTATGTAGCCATATAAAAGAATGAAATCATGCCCTTTGCAGCAACATGGATACAACTGGAAGCCATTATTTAGGTGAATTAATTCAGAAACAGAAAACCAAATACCATATATTCTCACTTATAAGTAGGAGCTGAACATTAGGTACTCATGGATATAAAGATGGTAACAATAGACACTAGAGACTACTATAGGGGTAGGAAGGGAGGGGCACAGGGTTGAACTATTTGGTACTATGCTCACTACCTGGGTGCTGAGATCGAATGTACCCAGAACCTCAGCATAACACAATATACCCAAATAACAAACCTGCACATGTACCTTTAAATCTAAAATAAAAGTTAAAATTCTTAAAAATAACACAAAATAAGTAAATAAATAAAATGATCTTTTCTTCCACAATGAGTCCTGTGGAAATTCACAGTATTATCCTCTTTCTTCAAATAAGAAATTATTCATACAGGGTAGATGAATCATTTGTCTAAAGTGGGAGCATGTCAGAGTCCAAATTATACATAACACTTAGTTTCTCCTTTAAGCAATCAGGACAATCTGATGTTCATATTGGTAAATAGAATAGCATAGCTCAGGGTACATGAAGGGGTTTGTAGTCTAAATTAGTCCTGATTGCACTGTCCCCTTGCTAATGAAATCCCTGGGAAATCAGGATAATTTTGGAGTTATTCAGGGGTTGAATCAAGTTAGGAGTCCAGCTAATCTTGGGCAGTGGAGGTACTCATTGATTATTTCTCTTCAGTTGCCTCAATATTGAGGAATCTAGAGCTTCTTTCCATGTTTAAGGGGTCATTGCTTTTTTTTTTTTTTTTTGAGACAGACTCTGTCACCTAGGCTGTAGTACAGTGGCACAATCTCGGCTTACTGCAACCTTCTCCTCCAGGGTTCAAGCGATTCTACTGCCTCAGCCTCCCAAGCAGCTGAGATTACAGGCGCCTCACACACAGCACACAGCTAATTTTTGTACTTTTAGTAGAGACGGGGTTGCACCATATTGGCTAGGCTGGTCTCGAAGGAGTCATTGCTTTTGCAATGAATTCCCAGTTTCATGTCTCCTCTTCCCTATAACAAGAAGTGGTTGAATCCAAATATGGGGTTACTGAAGGTCTCCAAGGGGAATATTGGTTATCTTTAGTTAGGTTCAAATAACTTAGTATCTGCCTGCATGTCACTGGCAATAGATAGGTATGGAGTAAGAGAGAGGCTCTTCCCTGTGAGCATTCTCACAATTTCATTCAATACTGCATTTTAACACATAACATTTTGTGAACTTTTTGTTTTTTCTTGATATGGAGTCTCACTCTGTTGCCCAGGCTGGAGCGCAGTGCTGTGATCTCCAGTCACTGAAACCTCTGCTTCCCGGGTTCAAGTGATTCTCCTGCTTAAGCCTCCTGAGTAGCTGGGACTACAGGTGCGTGCCACCATGCCCGGCTAATTTTTTGTTTTTTTAGTAGACAAGGGGTTTCACCATGTTAGCCAGGATTGTCTCAATCTCCTGACCTCGTGATCTGCCTGCCTCTGCCTCCCAAAGTGCTGCGATTACAGGAGTAAGCCACCATGCCCAGCCTGTGAACTGTTAATATTGCTAGACTCTTTGCTAAGCATTTTATACATATCTCCTTTAATCATTGCAATGAATTTTGGGGTAGATACTATATTTGTCCTCTCTTGGCAGATAGAAAACTGAGGCACAGAGAGATTAGGTGATTTGACCCAACTCACACGGCAAGTGAGGGAAGGGGCTAGTATAAGAAAGCCAGGTCTGTGAATATTCACTCCTACCGCTTGACTACAATTGGACTAAGGAACACTTTGTCCAACTGCTTTTCGCCTAGTTTCCAAAAGTGTGGGAGACGGAGTTTTTTTTTGAGGAAAGCACCTCTTAGGCATTTGGCTTCAGCCACTGTTTTTTTCAGGCTAGAGTAAAAAGCAAGATATTTTTATTAGGTAACAGAATTTGAAGATGTCATGTGGCAATGCTGACAGTATGGCATGGAAAGGGGAAAGCTATTCAACTCTAGGTAGTGGCTTCCATAAAAACAGGATGATAATCTTCAATGGAATGCTCTTTGTCTTCTGAGGCAGAAAAAAAAAAAATTGAGGTAACTTCCTTACCCATGGCTCTACAATTTAATGGAGATTTGAAAAGTGGAACAAATCACATTCCTTTATCCTCTTCTGTTGCTAATTGGCTTGATAACCTAAGGCAGGCAAGCAGGCAGGCAGACAACAGTCTGTAGTAGGAATCTGATCTGCTGAGCCTGGACGCCCTCCAGGCCAGCCCTTTTTTCCTCTCTTCTCCCAAGCAAGATGCTACTTCCTGGTAAGGCTGAGGTTGTATGATATACCCAGAGCCCTCTCCCTGGGAAATTTTTCCTTTCTAGAAGATTCTATGGATATCTGGCTTCAATTGGCAGATTCCATCTTCTCAGAGTTCAGTTCAACTGAGGCCAGTGCTCTTCAGCCCAGGGGCCCATGCTGCCTACAAATTCTTTTTTAATAAAGATGGTATTTGGTCTCAAGCTTGTTGCTAACACACATAGTATACCATACATTCACGTTTAACAAATCTTCGGGTAAATTAGGACCCACTTATCTTCATAAACTTATCTACTAGAAACCTACAGCAAACATTTTAATTGTGAAGATTTAGAAGCATTCTCATTAAAATGAAATAGAAGAAAGGGGTGATCTTCAACAATTACTATCCAATGGTACTAGATATCCTAGCCAATACAATAAGATAGAAAAAAATAGGTTTAAAAATGAAGTGACAAATTATTTAGACCTTAGTACATTTCTAAAAGTGACAGGGAGCTCAGTGTAGTGAGTCCTCATAGCTGTAATTCCAACACTTTGGGAGGCCAAAGTAGGAGGATCAGTTGAGCTGAGAACTTTGAGTTCAGCCAAGACAAAATAGTGAGACCCTATCTCTACAAATAATTTTTAAAAAATTAAGTGGGTGTGATGGTGGGTGCCTGTAGTCCCAGCTACTCGGGAGACTGAGGCAGGTGGATCCCTTGAGCTCAAGAGGTCGAGGCTGCAGTGAGCCATGATTGTGCGACTATATTCCAGCCTGGACAACAAAGCAAGACCCTGTCTTTAAAAAAATGAAGTGACTG